GAGCAGAGAACCCAGAAATAGACACAAGACATTATGCTCAATTAATATTTGACAATGTAGGCAAAAGCATACAATGGAGTAAGACAGCCTCTTTAATAATAGTGTTGGGATAATTGGACAGCTACATGCAAAAAAAAAAAAAAAAGAAGGAAAGAAAGAAAGAAACTACACCATCAACTTACACCATACACAGAATAAACTCAAAATGGATGAAACACGTAAATGTGACTCATGATCCGTAAAAATTCTAGAAAAAAATGTAGGTAACAAAATTTTGGACATCATAAGTAGCAGAATTTTCACTGATACATCACCTAAGGCAACAGAAACAAAGGAGAAAATGAACACATGGGACTACATCAAACTACAAAGCTTCTGAACAGCAAAAGAAACAACTACCAAAATGGAAAGGCAACCCACTGTATAGGAGAGCATCATTGCCAATGATATATCAGATAAGGGGTTCATTTCCAAAATATATAAAGTACTCATACAACTCATAGAAAGAAAAACAAAGAACCCATTTAAAAAATGGGCAGAGGAACTGTTTAGACACCTCTCCAAACAGGACATACAAATGACAAGAGACCTATGAAGAAATGCTCAACATCACTAATCATCAGAGAGATGTAAATTAAAACAACAATGAGGTATCACCTCACACCTCTCAGAATGGCCGCCATCAACAAATCGTCAAACAACCAGTGTTGGTGAGGGTGTGGAGAAAAGGGGACTCTAGTACACTGCTGGTGGGAATCCAGACTGGTGCAGCCACTATGAAAAACACTATGGTGTTACCTAAAAAAATTAAATATTGAACTGCCATTTGACCCAGTGATCTCACTTCTTGGAATATACCCTAGGAAGCCTGAAACACCAATCAGAAATAATATATGTACCCCCATGTTCATAGCAGCACTATTTACAATAGCTAAGATCTGGAAACAGCCCCAGTGTCCATCAGTAGACGAATACATAAAAATCTGTGGTACATATACACAATGGAGTACTATGCAGCTGTAAAAAAAGAATGATCTCTTATCCTTTGAGATGACATGAAGGGACCTGGAAAGTATTATCCTAAGTGAAACAAGCCAAGCAGAGAAAGACAAATATCACATGATCTCATTTATTTGTGGAATAAAATGAACATAACAGTCTGAGGAATTGGGTAGACCCAGAAACGTGGAAGTAGGGTACAGATGATAATCCTCAGACGAGGGTGTGGTGGGGGGAGGAAAGAGATAAATCACAGAACTTATATGCATGTATGTATAACCCATGGACAAGGACAACAAAGCCGGTGGTGTACAGACGGACAAGCCTCAGACAAGGAGGGGTTTTGGTGTTTTCCAATTGTATAAATCACTAGTTGAAAAGGGGACATAGACATAACGCTGTCCTGGAGGCGCCCCTGCCTGTGGGGGCACCTCACAGAGAGGCAGCATGGGAACCGAGGAGTCTGGGATTCCTTCCCTTTTACTGTAAGGGGTTCCTCCTCGGGTATGCGGGGGACTATCTAAATTTGAAAAAAGGAGCTGATGGAGTGCAGCCCCCGATTTTGGCTTTCATTTCTTTCCCCTCCATTGTTGAGGGTGCTAGGCACTTTCTTAGATAGCCCGGTTTGTCATGGGCTATATCTATCCACACATCTATATATATTTGTTGAAACCTTATATATCATAGCTCTGACAGCAAACAATAGGGAGAGGTCAAATGACACCTCAGGTGGCCAGTCCACACCAAACAATGGCCATTCTAATTCACACAGGGGTCCTGAGGAAGCCTGAGTCTGCTGGCTTCCCATGGTCACAGGAGCTTAAAGAAATCAGAGAAGTTACTCAGCAGCATTGGAGCGGGGATTGGGTTTTCGAATCAGCTGTCCCCATTCTGTAGGAAAGAAAGTAGCTGGCACACGACAATAACAAATGGACAGACAATACCAGACAGTGAGCACCCACTTTCATTCATACACCCGATGAATCCGCAAGTGGATTCCCAGAAGTCGGGGAACAGCGTCTCGTACTGACCAGGGTGAGGCAGTTCTGCAGCGTCCCGCCTGCCAAACACCCAATACAGCTCCTCGGGGAAACAACTGAAAACAGACGGAAAGGATGGTGTTTCCCTTACCTCCAGACGTCCTAGGATGTATTGAAAAAGCTCATGGTTAAATCAAAAGCCAATTTGAGGTGAAGGATATGGAGGCTTCCTTTGCCTAATTGGAGGAGGTCTACCCCAAAGGAGGAGGGCCTTGTGGTGATCTCGCTGGGGCCTCCAAATGTTGCAACCCAGGAGAATCAACCTCACTCGGACACAAAGTAATTTTCAATATTTGGAGCTTTATTACCTGCACAGGGACTGCAGCCAATCTTCCCAGAGGAGAACTGCAGCACACCGTAGCAGACTTTCAGCCCTTTTATAATTAGGGCTAAACAAGCACTAATTAGTCAGAGAGTTAACCAGTACATATGTAGTACATATATTCTTAAAAGGAAGCTTCAGTTTCTCTTTATTTACAGCTGAAGAATGGTACTTTTCAAATTCCCAGTGAAAGGGCAAACTCTGGTTAATTTCTCATGGGGTTAAAGCTCCGATAACAATGAGGAAGCTTAACAGAATGAGTAAAGATATAGAAACATCGAAAACCAACAAATTGGAAATGAAAAATGACTTAGCATACATAATGAACCATTGGAAGGAATAACCAGCAGAGTAGAGAAAACTGAGTACAGGATGAGTGAATTAGAACAAAAGGTAAAAAAAAAAAAAAAAAAAATCACCCAATGAGAAAACCAAAATGAAAAAACAATTAAAAAGCCAGGAAGACAGCTTAAGAGAACCGTGGGACAACTGGAAACATAACAACATTCACATCATAAGAGTTTCAGAGAATAAGAAAATGAGCAAGGGTTAGAAAATATACTTGAAGAAACAGTGACAGAAAACGTCCCTAACTTGGTGAAAGAAAAAGACATTCAAGTTCAAGAAGCACAGAAATCCCCAAGAAGAACCCAAACAGGACCACACCAAGACACATAATAATTAAAATGCCAAAATAATGACAGCAGTACCGTGGCAGCTGTACTGGAGCGGCCCCATCTGGCAGGAGAGCTGCGGAAGTATTTCCCGGGCATAGGGTCGCAGGTCCATGGGCCGAGAGGAAAGCAGGGAAATAACACTCTCTGGGAGCACGTCCTCCCTGACCTCAGGCCAGGGACCCTGTTGGGGTGTCAGCAAGTGGACGACCAAGAGACCCAAAATGGAAGAATCAGCACGCATTTTGCAATCTCTCATCTTCTCTCATTCTTTATCAAACAGTCCCACCCAAGGTGAACCACCATCCAGGTGTGCCACCAAAACTCACGCATCCCCAAGCACGCAGGTCTGGTTGGCCACCCTCCAGGACTCACCTGATGACCGTCACCACAGGGGACCTGGTGAGGTCACTGAGGGAGTGTGCCTGGCCTCAGCCACATGTGGTGGGGAGGAGATTACTGAATGGCCTGCTGGAAGGTTGGGAGGCAGAGCGCTGCCCACTGCATGGATCGCGTCCTCCCTCTAACTCAGGTCTCCTTGGTTTTCAGATCAGACAGTGCGAGAGACAGCTGGAACGACATTTACCAATATGTGCAAGAGATGGTGACAAAGTTCACGAAGTACGCTTGGGTTCCCTCCCCAGGCAGAGTACACCGCTGTTTACAATCCGGAGCAGGGGCAGGGCAGGGGCACAGAGCCCAGGGAAACGGACAGGGCACACTGGTTCCCGCAGGTCTCAGCACTGTGTGGCTCCTTCCTGGATGTCATGCCATGGTGCAGGGGCACCGTCTGCCCTGAGGGCGCACAGATTAGGAAACAGTCAAACCCGTGACAGAGTAACTAACACAAGGTTAAATGGTGCTGAGGGCCAAGAGAAGGGGAAACAATTTACATAGCACCCTAAAGGAAATGCAACACTCCTAGAAAAATCTGAACTAGGTCCAAATAATGGTGAAATTCTGGGTCACAGAACTCACCCAGAGACGTCCAGTAAAGTGGATGATCTGTCTCACTGGAGAGTGGGGTTAACTCAGAGAAGGATGGAGAAGACACTGGACTGGACACCTTAGCATTAAGGTCACAGAGTCATATGCCAGCTCAGGGTATTAGACTTGATGCTGTGGGCACTAGGAACTACAGGTAATTAATACCAGGGGTAAGAAATGATGAAGGTTGTTTTTCTTTGGGTGGTGAACACACAGTACAGTACACACATGTTGTATTATAGAGTAGTACACCTGAAAACTATGCAGCTTTTTAGCCATTGTCACCACAATATATTCAGTCATGATTTAGAAAAATAATTTAAAATAAAAGAGTTCCAAATGAAAAAACAAAATGCTCAAGATTGAGCTCCTTCAAAAGAAAGTCTGATGACTGTGGTCCAAACGGCTTGGAACAAGAGATAGGAGCAGGAGCAAGCAGAGCAAGGGACTGGGGGACACATTTAGCTGAAGGACAATGAAGACAGCGGCAGGAAGAGGAAGGCAGGACGTGACGAGTGGCTGGCAGGAATGAGAAGGGTTATGTGAGAGGAGAAAGGGGGGGCACAGGCAAGAGAAAGAGGCTGTGAAGGTCCAGAGAATTGCACAGCACAGGAGACCATGAGGGAGGCCTCGGTGTCCACCTCCCTGGGCGTGCACTGAGCAAGGGCACACGCCTGTGTCTCTGTGCACACGTGTGTGTTTGCGTGAGTGTGAACACTTTGGGTGCTGGGAGAACAGGGCGGGGGCAGGATGCCACCCTGGCCCCCTCTTCCAGGAATGAACCCTATCTCCACACCTCAGAACCCTTCACTCCAGTCATGGGAACCACTGGGTTGAAAGTGGGCCCCAGGTGGAAGAGTGGGGGTGGGGAGCGGGCAGCTGTCATGCACCCCCTCTGCGGCTGCTCATTAGCACCATTTGGAGCCCCTGTTTATGTCATCTCACAAGGAGTGCTTCATCCCCAGCCCAAAACTCAGGATGTCCTTCATCACCTACTCCACAGATGGCAACACTGTCATGGGGCTCACCTCAGACAGGTGAGTGCCATTAACCCCCAAGGCAGGCCCAGTGGGCCAGGCCAAAGGGAGAGCCAGGAAACAAGGGGATCTCCCTGAGACAGCGTGGGGAGCACTGTGCTGCAGGTTGGGCTGGGCTGGGCTGGGTTCCCCAGTGCCCACCCTGGTCTCCAGCGGAGGCTCCCGGCCTGCTCTGAACCTGGCTGCACTGGCCCTGGCCGCCCTCTGCTTGCAGACCATCCCTGCCCCCTCCCAGCCCTGACTGCACGGTCCTGAGACCCCTGGTCCTGAGACCCCTCACACTCCCCTGTCTCAGAACAGGCTGGCTCTGAGGAGGAGCAGGGAGGGGACGGGCTGCCCCCCACGAGGGGAGGGGAGGCCTGGTTTGTGTCAGCCTGTGGTTTGTGTTCAGGAGAGAGAGACCCCAGTGGGTGGAGGTGGGTGACAGCACGTGCCTGGGGGGGCTCCGGGGGCAGAGAGAGTGCCGGTGGGGGTGGGCTGGGGCCTCTGGGGGAGGGGCGAGTCCTGGGGACAGGAGGACCACTTCCTCCTCCCACACATGCTCAGGGCCCATGCAGGACAAGCTGTGGGGAGGCTCCTGCAGGACCCTGGTCCTCTCTGGAAGGTGAAAGTGGGGCCCTCTCCCATGGGGGAAGGGCCAGGACTGAGTCTGGGGCCAGGGGAACAGGGACCTGTGACATCCTGTGTGAGGGAGGGGGACAGGGAAAGAGGAGTCTGGTGCAGGCCCAGGACCTGGTGGTCCCTCCAGGAGCAGAGCTGGGAAGGGGGCGGGGCAGCGCCAGGCAGGACCTGCTCAGAGGGGCGGGGCCAGGCCCCTGGTGCTGGGCTGCAGGCCAAGGTGGGACAATCCCAGTACATCTGCCCAGATGCTGACAAACTAATGTTCCACAGTGAGGTGTGGGTGCAGGAGGGCCCCGCGCTGAGCTGGACACGCCTGGCTCGGCCTCCACTGGCCCTGGGTCCGAGGCCTCCTCACCCCCTTGGCTGGGCCGGTCACACCCAGGACGCATCTCTTCCCCCTGCGGTGAGACGCGGGCCCTCAGGGTCCAGGCTCAGCTTCCCTTCTGAGGCAGCTGGTCCCTGTCTCACTGGCTGCCCTGAACGTCAGCCCAGCCTCCGGCCCAGGGCCAGCCCTGCTCTCTGCCCTCACAGCAGGGACAGGCAGGGCCCAGGCAGCCTGAGAGCCCTGGTCCTCCGCGGGCACAGAAGCCTCGGGCCACTCCCCACACCTGGGCTTGTTCTCCCGCAGCCCTGGGGCCCGGAGCCTCTGCCTGAGCAGCTTGGCTCTTCCTGCACCACAGGTGGGGGAGGGGGGCTGGAGGACCAGGAGACCAGGGTCTGTGCCAGGGGAGCTGGGGCAGGGCAGGGGCTCAGCGGGGTGACCTTTGCCAAACTCAGCCTTACCTGTTGGAGGAGTGTGCCCACCTGAGGGCCTCTTAGAAGCTCACATACTGCCAGCCACCTTGTAGGTGCAGGGTTCACGCTGCACATCCATGGTGCCCCCCAAAGCCAAGGCCGGTCGCCTGAGGCCTGTGTGCCTGAGACAGGTGAGCTCAGAGGAAGCCATGCCACAGCCCTGGGACCAGCTGAGCGTCACCCCCCCAGCCCCATCCAGTGCTCCCCAGGTGGGGACAGAGAAGGCCGGAACAATGCCTTCAACTTCAAAGTCAAAGAAGGGCCTTGAAGGGTCAATCTACTCTGTCCCCTCCCACCCAGGCAGTTGGGCACAGTGCTCAACAGCATCAGGTCAGCTTGGGGTGGTTTTAACTTTCATCTCATTCTACCTCAATCCTGTTTTTAAAATTTTTTTCAGAACTGCAATACAGGAAGGTCTTAGCAGACTTCGAAACGTGGTGCCTACAGGAGCAACAAACATGCAGGAAGCACTTAAACTGGTACTCACTCTGCAGCTTTGAGTATCTCGTCACATTGTCAAGTTCTTAGAGGATTTTTGTGTTATCACACGGCCCTCACCAAACATTCTTTCACTTTCTTACAGGCAAATGAGCAGATTGAAAAAGAGGTCACCAAAGGTAAGGAGCCTGCGCACTTCCTTATGGTCCTGTCCAGGGCAGAGGCAGGCAGGGCCTCAGCGAGGTCTGGGTGCTGACCCACCTGGGCCACTCCGAGCGCTGAGGCTGGAACAAGCTGCTGGCCCTCTGGGTGCTGTAGGCTCCTCCTCCGTGCAGCGAGGACAAACCCACCCCCTTGACATTGCTCAGACTACACGGGCTCCCGTGGGTGCATTCTTGGTTCTGATTAAATGTGAGGTGCTTGACTTAGAGTTGGGCTGCATGAAAACGAAAAAGAAGAGCCAGGGACCTAGAACACACGGAATTCAGTTTCCTGAAGAGCTGGGTTGCTCCCTGCTCAGCAACCTGTGTCTCTGCCACAGGCTGGCTCTGGCTCCTGTTCTGTTCAGCTCTTCCCTTTGGTTGGCTCTTGTCCTGTGACAGCGTCTCCAACAGTGGGAGAGGCTGTGCTAAGCCGAGAAACATCTCCATTTGGACTCAGGGTCGCAGGAATAGCCAGGAAAACATGGGCCTGAAATAGCTGCAGTTGCCTTTCAAGCAAAAGCTGCACCATTTGGCAGCAGTGAGAGTTCAGGAGGAAGAGGCCCGAGCTGAGCTCAGCCCGAGCTGAAGTGGGCCCTGGGCGAAGGCTCCTTCTCCTTCCAGAGCTGGTAGCAACGCCCGTCAAGATTTCTGGATGGTGGGTGCCTGGGTTTGGGCTCACTCCCCCCAGGCACAGGGGGTGTGGGGAGCAGTGCTGTGGCCCTGGCAGCCTGGGGGGGCCACTCCAGGTGCCTCTATTGACCAGGCCGCTGCTGCTCCTCCTGCAGACATAAAGGCCACCAGCCTGATCATCACCCTCACGGCTGGAACACTGCTGCCCGAGACGTACGATGCCACTCGGAACGAGGTGAGTCCGGGCCATCTTCCCAGCCCTGCTCCATGGAATTAGGTGACTTACTTGCAAAGCCTTGTTTCTCTTAGGCTAACAAGGCTCGTGGTATGAAGGCGAAGGTTTACAGCGTGGGTTTGAAAGACTATGACCGAAAGCAGGTAACTCTGAACAGGTAACCAGGGCCACACCTCAGCTCTTTTGGGGGACAATTTCATAAACAGTTTCCCAGGGTAGGCCAAAGTACATTTCTCTAACTCACCGCAGGGTTCGGACGACAGACTGCCACTCAGACATGAGTAACGAGTGCGATGTAGAACCTGCGCCCCAGAGGTGGGGGGAGCACTTCCCTCCTGAGGCTGTGCTGCCGGCGGGCACAGGGTCTGGCCCAGGGGTCGAAGTGGCCTGAGTGCAGATACCGCCTCCTGGGACGGGAACCTGCTGTGTCCCCACCTGGCTGGGAGCCCAAGCCACCTCCTCTTTCTTGTAGCTGCTGAGCATTGTAGAGAGTGAACACCAAATGTACGGAAGAGACGGTTACAACTCCTCTGATGACTTTGTGAACTCGGTGAGCGTGGGGCAAGGTGAGAAGGGGACTGAGCAGTTTCTCACCACAGCCCCACGTCCCCTCACTCTGACACTGCCTCTCTCTGCTCAGCTCGTGGAAAATTCCTGCTCAGACGTTATGGGAAAAGACACTTTCTTTGTTTGTGTGGCAGGTAAGAGATAGAGTCACTCTTTCAGACAAAAGTGAGCAAGATGTGGTATATGTGTGTTTGTGTGTGTGTGTATGTGTGTCTGGTGTGTATGGGTATGTGGTGAGAATATGTGTAGTCTAAGTAACGTGTGGTGGGAGAGGTCTGAGTGTGTGTGGTGTGTGTGTGGTGTCGTGGTGGGTGTGTGCAGTGTGTCTGCCTGGAGCGGTGGGGGGGGGGGCAGTGCACCTCATTAAGAGGCTTTGTTGCAGGGTGTGTAGGCCACGTTGTGGTCCAGGTACATGCACCTTATTATATTTTCCCACCTGGACTGAGCAAGATGGACATGGAGCTCTGTAGAGGTTAAGGGGTCTCACATTGGGACTGCACACACATATTGTGAAATGATTACCATAGTAAATCTAGTGTTAGTATATATAAATCTCAAAACCAAAAGTCTAATGAAGAACTGAGAAAAATATTATAGAAACCTCAACAAAAAATCTAGCTAATGAAATCCAAAAACACATATAATGAAATCCATCAAGACTAACAGGGGTCACCCGAGAATGCAAGCCTCATGCCTGATTTAAAATATCATGTAATTTCGCATCATCACCACAAAAGAGAAAAACATGATTACCTCAAATGGGAAGAAAAAGTTGTGGACAGTGCTCCCCTTCTACTGTCACTCTAGATGAAAGGCCTCCATCCACAGTGATACTCAGAGCCAATAGCATTCCCAGCAGTCACTAGGAACTCTCTCCCTGACTTCTACCTGAGACTTGACAAGGATGTCCTCTCCACTGCCAACACCTCCTCCACTGCCAACCCCACCTCCACTGCCTAGGGTGCCTGCATCCTCCCGTACGTTACCTCTGTGTTGGGAGCCCTCCCTCTGCACCCAGCACCCCGCCCTCAAGGGTCCTGCATCAGTGTGCTGAGGGCCTCCTGTTGGTTACCTCTGTGATGAGAGTCCTCCCTCTGCACCACAGCACCCCACCCCCGAGGGTCCTCCATCAGTGTGCCGAGGGCCTCCTGTGCATTACCTCTGTGATAGGAGCTCTCCAGCTGTCATGAGCTCTGGATCTGAAGACTGGAGCATCCAGGTGCCTGGCTCTGCACTGCTGAGGTGATGGATGAGTGCACTCTCCCCCTGGGGACAGCACGCAGCCAGATCCAGCAGCATGCAGACCCAGGCAGCTGGCTCTGCACTGTGCTCTCCATGTTAGGCTGCAGTGCAGTAGGTGGAGGGATTACACAGAACTGCGCACATGTCTGAGCTCTTTCCCAAGGGCGGGCACACTGGAGCTGATGCCCCATCTGCCAGCTCCACTCTTATGTCAAAAAGTGGAGAGAACAGTCCCCAACAGTCCCTTATTTGCTGTAAAGGAAATGCCCTTGGATTCTTTAGTGACTAACACATGACCCAGCAGCAGCCAGCCTGACCAGCAGTGGCAGAGACTATTGCTTCCATCAGGATTGGGCTCTCCCACCCTGTGCAGAGGGCCTGGACAGAGCACTAAATTAGCTACAGCCCCTCACCTTGGGCTCTGGCAAAGGGAGAGCAGACTTGTTTGGAACAGTGTGGAGAGACTCGGGAACTTGGAGAGCTCGTAGAGCTGGGACAGCAGTGGAATTTTGTTGTTGTTGTGGTGGTATTACCCCCTCACAGGACAGTAGCCATATTACTCAAAGAGTTCCTTCCCAGAGCCCTGGGGAGAAGCAACAGAGCTTCTCTCAGAATTTTAACCCTGCCAGGCCAAAGAATTGTAAATTGAGGCTCAATAACAGCCAGCAAGCACCTGACCCACCCTCTGGAAATCCTCATACCCTGAACACCTGAGGGATTTTTATTCACCTGAGGCCTACAACCCAAGGCTCAAAAAGTAACTGAGATTAATGGCCTCCAGGCAAAAAGCTAGAGAATAACTGAACCTTTCTGGGCTTGCAAATCTACCCAGGAAAGTAAGACTTGACAGTGGTCTTTAACATGAGTCCTCTCACACTCATTCAAACCCAGTAGAGGGAGCCACAAGCAGCAGAACACCAACACCTACAGGAAACTTTAGGCAGCCTCCAAAATGCACTGAGACTGCCAAAATGGTGAAACAAAGACACAAATGAAAGAACAAGATAATTGGACAGAAGATGAAGTAAATGAAAGGGAATTGAGCAAGATATCAGAGGGCGAGTTCAGAGATAATAATAATTAGGATGCTCAACAGCACGAGTAAAGACATAGAAGCATTGGAAACCAACCATTTGGAAATGAATAATGACATAACAGAACTAAAGAACACATTGGAAGGAATAACCTGCAAAGAGAAGGACAAGGACTGGATCAGTAAATTAGAAGACAGCAAGAAAAAAATCGCCCAATCGGAGAATCAAAAAGAAAAAAAAAAACAAAACAATTAAAAAACTGGAAGACAGCCTAAGAGAACTCTGGGACAATATGAAAAATAAAAACATCTGCATCACAGGAATTCAGGAAGAAGAAAATGAGCAAAGTTTAGAGATTATATTTGCAGAAATAGTGACAGAAAACTTCCCTAACTTGGTGAAGGAAAAAGGCATACAAATATGAGAAGCACAGAGAACCCCAAGTAAGAAGAACCCAAACAGGCCCACACCAACACACATAATAATCAAAATGCCAAAAATTAAAGACAAAAAGAAAATCCTGAATGCAGCAATAGAAAAGCAACAGGTTACCTACAAAGGAACCCCCATAAGGCCATAAGCTGACTCATCAACAGAAACACTACAGGCCAGAAGGGAACAGCATGAAGTAATCAAGGTCATGTAAAACAAGGATCTAAATCCAAGACTATTCTATCCAGCAAGGCTATCACTCTAAATAGAAGGTGAAATAAAGAGCTTCCCAGACAAAGAAAAATAGGCTGAGGGAACATATAACCACCAAATTGGCACTGCAAGTAATATTAAAAAGACTGCTGTAATTAGTAGAAGAAATAGGAAGAAAAATATAACCATAATAAGCAAAAATGGAAATAAAGAAGTGCATATTAATAATAACCTTAAATATCAATGGATTAAATGTTCAGATCAAGACACAGAGTAGATAATTGGATGAGAATGCATGACTCATATATATGTTATTTACAAGAGACACATCTCACAACAAAAGACTCACATAGGTTAAAAGTAAATGGATGAAAAATAAAATATTCCAAGCAAAAGGGAAGGAAAAAAGAGCTAAGGTAGCAATACTCATATCTCATAAAATAGACTTCAAAATGAAGGCAGTGACTAGAGACAAAGAAGGCCACTTCATAATATTGAAAGGATCTATCCAATAGAAAGATATAAACACGGTAAACATATATGCATCTGACATACGAGCACCAAAATATATTTTAAAACTTCTAGAAGACTTCAAAGGAGAAATTGAAAGCAATGCAATCATAGAAGGGGACTTCAACACCCTGCTGACATCACTGAATAGATCCTCTAGACAAAATATTAACAAGGAAACAGAGTCTCTAAATAATGCACTAAATCAAATGGACTAAATAGATATCTACAGAGAATTACACCCTAAAACTGGAGAATTCACATTCTTCTCAAGTGCAGATGAGACATTCTCAAAGATAGACCTCATATTAGGACATAAACAATGTCTCTAGAAATTCGAGAAGATTGACATCATATCAAACCTTTACTCAGATCACATTGGTAAGAAACTACAAATCAGTTATAACAAAAATATTTAAACACATGGAGGCTAAATAACATGTTATTAAAAAAGGAATGAGTTACCAGGATATCAAGGAAGAAATTAAAAACTTCCAAAAAACCAATGAAAATGAACACACAGCAACCCAAAATCTATGGGATGCAGCAAAAGCAGTCCTGAGAGGAAAGTTCATAGCACTACAGGCCTACCTCAGGAAACAAGAAAACTCTCATGCTAATCAGCAACAAGATCCCACTACTTTTGACTTTAAACTAAGTCTCAGTGTTCAGTATTGGACTCAATATGTGTCCAATGCAGGACACACAAGACTCTTAATATTCTAGGGTATTTGGTACTTTAGACATTGTGCATGGGGATTGGAATGACTAGACCATATGCAGAGTGCCCGGGTTGTGGGAGGCATCAGTGGCAGCATTCTAATTGACTATCTAACCTCACAACTTAAACAGCAAGAAAGCAAACAAAAAGAAATTCCAGAGCAAGTACAAGAAAAGAAACAATAAAGATCAGAGCAGGAATAAACAACATAGAGACTAAAAAATCAATTCAAAAGATCAATGAATCAAAGAGCTGGTTCTTTGAAAAGTTAAACAAGATTGATGGACCCTTAGCAAGACTCACCAAGAAACAAAGAGAGAGGACGCAAATAAACAAAATTAGAAATGAAAGAGGAGAACTAACAACTGACACCACAAAAATACAAAGGATCTTTAACAAATACTATGAACAATTATATGCCAAGAAATTGGACAATCTAGGTGAAATGAACCAATTTCTAGAATCACACAGTCTTCCAAAACTGAACCGGGAAAAGATAGAAAACTTGAACAGATGAATACTAACTCAGGAGATTCAAGATGCAATCAAGAAACTCCCAGCAAACAAAAGGCCAGGCCCGGATGGCTTCACAGGGGAGTTTTACTCAGCATTCAGAAGAACTGACACTAATTCTCCTGAAACTATTCCTAAAAATTCAAGAACAAGGAACACTTCCAAACTCATTTTATGAAGCCAGCAAAATTCTAATACTCAAACCAGATAGAGATACTACAAAGAAAGATAACTACAGGTCAATATCCCTGATGAACATAGAAGCCAAAACCCTGAACAAAATTTTAGCAAATCAGATCCAGCAATACATTAAAAAAATATTCCCCATGAGCAAGTGGGATTCATCCCAGGGATGGAAGGCTGGTACAATATTCGCAAATAAAAAATGTGATACACCACATAAGCAAAATGAAAGATAAAAAACATATGATCATATCAATAGATGCTGAAAAAGCATTCAATGAAATCC